CACACACACACACACACACACACACACACACACACACACACACACACACACACACACACACACACAAACACACGCATAAGTCTACATTTTCTACCACGATGAATTGATTCCTCCAACTGCTAACAGTAACACGGCACTTATAATAATATGCTATATGACCTATTTGTAAGTCTTTTACTTAAAAAAATAATAAAAACCCACAGCTTTTGTTCATTTTTTTTTCCTTCTTTAAAAAATATTTCTTCTTAATTAAGACAAACAAACATACGATTCCCGACGATTTCTTTGACACATTTGACAACAATTTTGATGCTCACACGATTAGGAATATAAGGTTAACAAATTTAATAGGCCCCTATACAATAATACGATAGGGAAAAAAAGGTTAACAAACTTGAAATACCTGTACTGTACGATAAGGAATAAAAGGTTAACAAATTTGATATGTACACGATAAGGAATAAAAGGTTAACAAATTTTATATACATAATACGATAAGGAATAAAAGGTTAACAAATTTGATATGTACACGATAAGGAATAAAATGTTAACAAATTTGATATACATAATACGATAAGGAATAAAAGGTTAACAAATTTGATATGTACACGATAAGGAATAAAAGGTTAGCAAATTTGATGTGTACACGATAAGGAATAAAAGATTAACATTTGAAGGGGATAATTCTTGGAATTGTTCTGATCTGGAAGTTGTAGATGTATCGTTTGCGAGACGAGGACACAAGCGATGTACTTACTTATAGTATTTCAACGACGAAAGAATATTTGTGTTTGTTTTTTCCTTCACATACGCGCTACTTTTTGTTGACTCATCGGTGTTGGTTTGTTCGTCGCGTTGCTCCTTCCCAATTTCTTCAAGGTTTTTGGTTGTTGTTGTTTTGTTTTGTTTTGTTGCTGTTGTTAATGTTTTGTTTTGTTGTTGTTTTTGTTGTTGTTGTTGTTGTTATTGTTTGGGGGCTGTTGTTGTTGTTGTTGTTGGTGGTGGTGGTGTTGTTGTTGTTGTTGTTGTTGTTGTTGTTTGGGGGCTGTTGTTGTTGTTGTTGGTGGTGGTGGTGTTGTTGTTGTTGTTGTTGTTGTTGTTGTTGTTGTTGCTACTTCTTGGGCGATTTTTTAAAAGCTTAGTTTAGTTTTGTTTAACTTTATTTTGTTTCTGTTGCTGCTTTTCTTTTGTTTTTTTCTGTTTTGTCTTTTTTTTTTCCTTTGCGTTTTGAAGAGGGGATGGGGGTGGGGGAGGGGGGTTGTCAAATAAATATAGCTGTGTATTATTTCATTTTTGCATGTTTTAATCAGTGGATCCCTCTTAACTATGACATTTTGCTGTATCCATTTGTTTCAGCGGACCATCCGTTTGAACTTCTGTGGTTTCCCACAAACATTGTATTGCTCATTTGTATGTGTAATATAGTTGTTTTTGTTATGTTTTCGTTTGGTTTTGATTTGTTGGAGGTTTTTCTGGGGCTGAAAAAAGCGACATTGGTCTGTCATGACTCAGGACCCTAGCAGAAATACCGTCTTGTCCGGAACGTTCAATTAAGCGCCGGATTTTTGTTTTGTTTTTTGTTTTGTTTTGTTTTGTTTTTATTTACTAGGTATATTTCTATCTTGTGTTTTATGTTTAGAGGTTTTTTTCGTTTTTTAATGATTTCTAGCGTTTGTTTTTGTTTTTGTAGTTAATGTCTTTCTTTTAATTTGTTGTGTGTGTGTGTGTTTGTGTGTGTGTGTGTGTGTGTGTGTGTGTGTTTGTGTGTGTGTGTGTGTGTGTGTGTGTGTGTGTGTGTGTGTGTGTGTGTGTGCGCGCGCGCGTGCGCTGTTGCTGTTTGCTTCTTGCGGCTTATCAGTTTAAAGATAATATTTTTTTTAACATGTTTTGTCGTTTTTGCAAACTGATTTACCTCACGTTTACACTCTGCGCCAAATGATCGTATGGAAACAATGAAATACCATCATATAGAAACCAAGCATTTTTTAAAATATTATTTTTTTAAAAAGATCTTATTCAATCCAAACAATCTTATGAAAACCGAGCGATATTATCCAGCCTAAGTAATGTCATCAAAATAGAGCGGTCTTGTCCCACCCAAGTACATGTAATTTTATCAAAACCGAGCGACCTTATTCAACTAAAGAATCGCATTAAAACCGAATTATCATATCCAACTCAGACAAGTTCATGAAAACGAAGAAACCGCGCGCCCATACGACCTTATGAAGTTGCAAGCGCCGTTAAAAAAAAATATATTTAAAAAAACACTTACAAAAAATAAAAGGATTTTTTTTAATGGAGCAACTCTATCGTATCGAAAACTCGTGGCAATCAATTGACAAAAACCTCACATGCCAAAATTATAATCACTATTATTCTGCTTTGATTTTACATTGTACGATGTCTTATATCATGCTTTCTCGTCGCAGGAATCTCGAGCAATCCTCACTGTGCCAGCCCAACTTTGAGCGGAACCACCTTCGCATCTTCCTACGACCTCGGTCGACGCTACAGCCTCCCCCACCATCCTCTACAACAACAACAACAACAGCAGCAGCAACAGCAACAACAACAACCACCACCATCAACCCAGCACCACGCGCAGGGCTACCATCACCTCCCACACCATCACCAGCACCAACAGCACCAACAGCATCCTCACCATCACCAGCAACAGCAGCAACAGCAACAACAGCAGCAGCAGCCAACGCCTCACGAGCCGGACACCGGAGGCATTGCTGCCAATCTCCTGAGTCAAGACAGACCCATGTTGCTTCTTCAGTCCCAGGTCTGTCAGTTTGAAACTATTTTCTTTATCGTTATTCATTCATTCATTCATTCATTCATTCATTCATTCATTCATTCATTCATTCATTCATTCATTCATTCATTCGTACGTTCATTCATTCATTTATTCATCCATTCATTCATTCTTTCATTTATTCATTCGTTAATTCGTGCATTCATTCATTCAGATATTCCTGCAAATAAGTAAATAAATAAATAAATAAATAAATAAATAAATAAATAAATAAATAAATAAATAA